CAATCAGTGTTGTTTCTGTCACATGTCATAAACTGAACCATAACTAACAAGGATTCAAATAAATTCCCTCTTGCGAAGTATACAATAGCTGCATCCTGAGCACTATCTCAATAAAATTTTCTAAAGGATAGACCGGGCAGTAGTTGTCAAAGAAAAATAGCCAGTGCAAGGAGGGCCTCTTGAGAACAACATGAAACATAACTACTTTCAGGACTGGTGGCACTGTGTCCTTTGAAACCGAAGCACTAACAATGACTTACTAGCAAACCGCTGTACAAAATATAGTGGCCAGATGGGAGATCTACCTGATGTTAAATCTGGAAAAGAGAGTCACTAAAGAAGGCCATTGATACAATAAAGCAGGAGAGGTTAGAGTACTTCACCTCTATTATTGTGATGTTGTAGGCCCAAATCTTGAGGTGATACTTGTCTTGGTAAATAGTAGTTTTGGTTTTCCTCCACTGTCTTTCCAAATGTTTCTTATATTTTATTTATTAGTTATTTGAATTTAAAGAAAAAAAATGAATTTTAAAAGGTACTTCTAATTTGTCTTCTAGAACTAAACCAAGGAGCCACCTGAAATGAGCACACAGGGAGTGGTTGCTTCGTGAGCCTACCTTACCTCCTATTGACAATGACTAACCAGGCATGCAACAGAACTGCCTAGCAGCTCACTGAAAACTTCTTAAATACCCTCTGGAATCTGTTGAGGTTCCTGAATTTCCTGGGATAGCCCACCGAATAGACCTTCTCACCCCAGTCTATTTTATCTGGATAGGGAAGTTGCATAATGACAAAGGGTTGAGGGAAATCTCCACTCCCCATACTTCCCTCAGAGATGAAAATGAAGTGAGATGCCAAGGCAATGGTCATCTGGGAGGCCATGAACACCTAAGCTCTACCAGGACCTTACACCTGTGCTCTACCAAGATTTTTAAAAATTGACAATAACTAAAGAAAATAACTAAAGACTACAATTAAAGAAGAAAAAAAGAATGGATTAAAAATATGCTAGGGTTGGATATATTGAAGGATATTTTTGAACAATGGACTCAGAAGCTAATTTTAATAGCCTCTGCCTCTATAAATATATAATCTCTAAAAGATGTTATGGAAGAGGAACAAGTTCTGCTTGACAAAACTGAGACTGAGTTGAAAATGGATTTAAAAATGAGGGGCTACAAAAATGATATGGGAAAATATGTTATACTGGACATACAAAAGAAGCTGGCTGATGTCTTAATAATTAAAAAGGGTATTTAAATAACAAACCAAGAGAATGACCAGGATAATTTTTTTATATTGGATTTACAAAACAGGCATCTTAAAGTTTAGAAGATTTTTTTGAGAAGGGACAAAGAACAAATAAAATAAAATTCTGGGACATTATTAAAAGATTAAAGATCAAAATTGTTAGAAGTAAAAGGAAGAAATATAAAGTTGATTTACTTGATCAAGATTAAAATAGATAAGTTGCTATTTCTGGTAATCCTTAATTGACTTTTATTGATATCAGACATGAAATGATAAGGTTTTATGAGGTTTTGTTTATAGATTAAAAGATGGGATATAGGAAAAATGATCATATTTTAAGAAAAGGTAATAAGTTACTAAAATTGTCATACTTACTGTGATGAAGGGGGGAAATTACTTATTTATATATTACTTTTTTTCTTTTATATATTCTTATTTTTCTTTCTTTTCTGTTTCTCTTTCTATTTTCCCCTTTCTTGCATCTTCTACTTTTTATTCTTTCAGGATTTTTGTATTAGCTTTTATTGTTGTTATAATGATACATCTTAATAAAATTACTATTCAAAAAACAATTTTTGAAGCACTTTTGACAATAGCTTAAATTTCAGCATGATGTCTGCCATATTTACTGAAGCAAATTCAAAGCTCAGTTAAGGTAACTCCTTAACCCAGGAGAAGAGAGCATTCCATGCTACTTTTATGAAGTTTTATGAAGTCTAAGAGTCTACCTATGGAGCTTTTGATTACCATTCAGAAATTACAATTCATGTGCTACATGTAGAGCCATCACTTGCAAACAAGGACAAAGCAAACCTTTATTAAGCAAAATAGTATCCCTTTAGGGCAAGGGTCTTCAAACTTGGCAAGTTTAAGACTTGTGGACTTCAACTCCCAGAATTCCTGAGCAAACATGACTGGAGGAGAAATTCTGGGAGTTGAAGTCCACAAGTCTTAAAGCTGTCAAGTTTGAAGACCCCTGTTCTAGGGTATTTTTATTATTTACCAACCAGTGCTCTTTTTTTTAATGAAATCCCAATGCTTAGTTTTTGTAAAGAACACTGTGGCTTTTTAGTTGTGAGAACAAAAGAAGTTACTCACGTTGTAATAAGAGAAAGAGAGACAGAGCAGGATCTGGATTTTGTTAGCACAGGATGCAGCTGGTCTTTCCCTGAGAGGGTTTGAGGAGGAGGGAAGAATCTGCTCTACCTTCCCTTCCCAATGATATCTGCTGTGCATAGTAAATCTTGTTTATGTCAGCTTAGGTAATCAAAGTATCTCCTTTAAAAAGATAAAAGATAATGTGAATTAATATAGATCTTACTTAAGCTAAAAAGCACCTCTAGCACAATCCCTATCTTTTAAGTTCTGACTAAATTCCACAAAGCCAAACATTTGCTGCCCAGAAGCCAACAAGAAAAATTACTCTTAGTGCCCAACAGGATCTGCTTTCTCATGGTGCATGGATTGAGCTGCAATGTCTGTAAAATGTCCCCTCTCTTTTATTTCCTTGACACTCGGTAGAAACCTAAATGAACTGGATTCTGCACAACTGCAGAGCTGTCCCCTTCCTTTTCTCACTGTTTTATGTCATTGGAGGTGGGATGACAGGAGACAAAATAAGAACCTTAGTAATGTTCCCATTGCTTTTCCAGCTGGATAGTTGGCTCGGCTTAATGAAAGAGGAAGTTGCATACATCTGCTTTTTATGGAACTTTGCTTTGGTGAGAGAATGAAGACTCTCTAACTTAATTTTTGCTAATGTTTTCATTACTTTGACTACTTCATACCGACTTTTTCAATTCAGAAGAAAAACATCACCAAACTTCATGTTCATAAGTTGATTTTGTTTCCATCTCTCCAAATCAATGACATTAAAGCTAATTGCAAATTTCAGAGGAATGTGCATTTGTTTCCTTGATGTAAGGAAAAGGCATTGCACAAGCCAGCAGGGAAATTATAAATGTCTTAGACTGAATTAGGTTTTGGATTGTATGTAGGTTGAAATTGTTCTGATGCTATAGGTCTTATATAGCTGTATGTTTATCATGGTTTATCAGCCCATTCACAAATTTTGGTTTTTTTGGTTGAAAAGTACTTATATGTTTGAGATGGTCAGTGACCACAATAAAATACTACTACTACTACTACTACTACTACTACTACTACTACTACTACTACTACTA